CCCCATATTTTGTGAGAATTGACTTCTGAATTGGCTTAATACTTGACAAAATAGGTCAAGTAACATATACATTTCACAGTTACAAACGGGTGGGTCTATATATCCTGTTTTTGTGAATGTATCATGCCTGTATGTAAAGTTAGAAGTATAAAGTGTAAATCTGTTTTTAGTTTTAAATGTGCTAATGAGGGCCATCATTAATGCCCCAGAATACTAATGGCTCGGTGATCAACTCAGTGACCTGTAATTAACCTTTGTTTTGGATGCCCAAATGGTTGTTGGTCCTAGAAAAACATGGTACTTGGTACTGGAATCCATGTTAAACCTGGTATATTTCATGGGAATGGGGTAGGCCAAACAAATGGTTCCTGTCCTGAGAGAAAATCTATTTAAGCAATAGGAAGCAATCAGCTTTTGTCTTCAGCTGTCTTTTGAATCTACCTGGCCCACTCTAGGAGGAAACAAAGAACTCTGAAGAAGCCATAGCCCCCAAGTCAGAGTAAAAGATCAACTCTCATTTGAAGCTTTTACCTGAAATGAGAATAGCTGTTTTGGATAATATTTTGTTATCCATGTAACAGGTTTCTTAGCAGATTAGAACTAGCTATGCATTTTCTATTTATTTTAATTTAGTAACTTACTTTGATCTGACTGTTTTCACTTGCAATCATCTAAATCCTAACTTCTTCTACTTAATGAAGCACTTTTGTTTATTATCAGGCCCAGTGCAAAAATTGTTGTTGGGGAGGAAGTAACCACTGTGGATATCTCTCTTTCATTGATAAAGGGAGCTAATTGTAGGCGCTTTCTCTGTGTAAAACTTTTACACAGGTTAAGACAGATTTATTTGGGTTTTGAGTCGTACTTGGACGTTGATTTATAGCTATGGTGACCATATTTTCGGACACCAAAATAGGGACACCTTAGCCACACCCCCTAACACCACTATCCATGCTCCTGATCCCTTAGGCCCCACCCACCTGCAACAGGAAGCCCCTCCCCTTAGGAGTAGTACTTCTGGAGTCAAGAGGTACATGTGACTGGAAGTGAGTGGTGTCATATGACCCCTCTAAAAACTCCTCCCACTGTCTTCTATCAATAGGGATGGGTTTTCGAACTATAGGAACCTCCCTCCCCACCATGCAACTATACTGCAATTGAATTAACCCTGACCCCAGTTCCAGGGTCTGAGGACACTGTCACATTAGGGGTCCAATCTCAATCTCATTTTTTTGGGATTACGGATCTTTCAAAAAAGGGTTTTATTTTTGAAAGATCCCTGTCTAAACAGCGTTTTTTTTCTTTCAAAAAGCCCCTTTTTGGAAAAAAACCCACCCTGTAGCCACTATTATGCAAACGAAGCACGGGAAATTTAAATCTAAGCTTCATTTACAATTTCGAAGTGTCTAATTTACATTCCTTTTTCGAGGGAAGGGATGTAGTCTAGACATAGCCTAAATGTTTTAATTTTCTCATGTTACTTTATCAAACTTCATTTTAAATAAAGTAAAATATTAATTTATGTCCAATACAAAAGATTTCAGTGTTTTCTTTATTTATGTCAGGGGTAGGCAATGTATTTTTTGGTCAGAGGCTACTGACCCACAGAAAAATCAGATGGAGACCGTACAAGTGAGAAACAAAAAAACTCCTCCCAAAACCTCAACCATCACTAAGGTGGCCCCCAACTGAGACACTTGACTCCTCTGGGGCTCCACGGGATGAGGCAAAGGGACAGGGAGGACTGAGGTTCAGGGCTTCCCATAGGCTAGATTTGCTTTTCTGAGGAATGTTAAGGACCCCCTGAGGTTCTATGGTGGGTTCAAAGTGTGTGAGAGGGCTGCCAATGAGTGGGATAGGGATGGGGTGCAGGATCTGTGAGGGAGGAGGAGTCAGATGGGGAAATGGTTGCAAAGTCTGGGTGGGAGGTAGAGTGCAGAAGCAGAGGTTGCAAGGTCTGGGTTGGAGGAGGGTGTCTGGCCAGGGGGAGAAAGCAGGAGTGGATGGAGGTAGGGTGTCTGGCTAGGAGGGAGGGTACAAGGAGGGGACTTAGGTAGGGGTTGGACTTCCCTGGTCTGGCACCCTCTGTTCCTGACTGGTCCCAGATGAGGGATATTTTGGACCAGGGAAGGTCATTTCAGTCCTCCTGCTGCTGTCCCCTCCCCACTCTGTTTCTTTGCACCTCCCCTCCCTGCACCTTCCCCAAAGGCCACCCCCGCACAACCCAGCAGAGCCTAGCACCAGTTCCCTGTACCTCCCCTTTAGTCCAGCTGAGCTGCCCTGTTCCCTGCCTCCCCCCAAACCTCAGCCAAGTTCAACCCCATGATGGTTCCCCATCTGCCTCCCCCACAGCACAGCTGAGCAACATTTCCTGTAGACCTGCTGAGCCCAGCACTGGTTCCCTGCCCCTCCTTCACTCCCCCACTTGAGTCCAGCTTCTGGGTTCCTGGCATCTCTCCCCCCTCGGCCCAGTTGAGCTCTACCGCCCGGCACCCCTTCCCCTCCCTCAGTGGCGCGCTGTGGCCGTGTACATCAGCATGGCCGTGTACGTCGGCAGGGGGTGTGGCCGTTTAGGTCAGCGTTACAGCATAAATATTTGAGGGTTCTTATTTCATGCTAATAGGAAAATAATTTAAC